GACTGACTGTCTCAATCATAGGTTTCCACCAGGTCCCTTCCCTTGCCACTCGGAATCCCATGGAAAGGGGAAAGACTATAGGAGTCAGAGGGGACGGAGGACACCAGGAAAGCATAGCCCAAAGAATCAACTGAGCAGGTCCAAGGTCCAGAGAGAACCAGGTCCTGTGTGCACGCTGTGGCTGTCAGCTGGTGCTTTTGTGGGGCTCCCAACTGTGTAGGCCGGTGTGTCTCAGACTCTTTTGCCTCCTCTTGGGCTCTTCCCCGTTGGGCTGCCATGTCCAGCTTCAGTGTGAAGGTGCTTCCACCTCCTTGTGTGTTTTGTTTGTTGTGTCTGCTCTTTTCTGGTGGGAGTGGGAGAGGGAGGGGATCTGAGGGAGAGAGGAGGAGAAGAAAAGCAGGGAGGAGTGGGGAGGGAGTATGGTCAAGATGTATTGTATGAGAGAAGAATCTAAAGTTATTTGATAGTCTCCAGTTCCTTAATGGCAGCACCAAGTTGTAGCCAGCAGCGCCTCCTCTCCACCCGCAGCCCCTTGTCCTTTCAGCCCTGTTCTCCAAGAGACAAACTATTGGAAAGAGTCGGTATCTTCATCTGCCATTTTACGTGTAGACTGAGTGTCTTATTTTCATTATTACCAGCCTGGCTGCTGAAGCTCTTTGCATAAGCAAATAACATGAGTGTGGAAATCTTGACAGTCTTGTGTTCTTCTCTTCTGTGTCTAGCTTAAAAATACCTTTTGAATGGGTGAATTTAAAAATATTCATCACAGCTATTTACTTTTTTATTTGTTTACTTTAGTTTATGTGTGTGCTTGCACAAATATGGAGTCAGAGGACACCTGCAATTCTCGGTTCTGCGCAGCATCAAATTCAATGCTGACGTTCAAGAACTATCTATGAGCCCTCAAAGGAATGAATTTTATTCCAATATATTTATAGATTTCTAGTGACTGAAAAGAAAAACCACATGACCAGAGAAGTTTCAAAATTTAACTAAAAAACAAAATGAAATTAAAAAAAAAACACCAAAAATACCAAACCCACAAACATTACTGTGCTGCTGGTCTGAGTTTAGCTATATTATGAAACTTCCCAAGTACTAGACATCCTAGGAGGAGCAGTACCAGCTATCTCAAATGAAAACAACCGACAGAATTCACTAGCAAAGGCATGCCTCACATTTGCTATGCACTGACTCATCAGTAAGGTGAGACTGTCTTTAGATATATAATCACGTCAGTATCCATCCATCCACCCAGCCATCTACCATCCACCCACCCACCACCCACTCATCTACCCATCCATCCATCTACCCATCCATCCATCCATCCATCTACCCATCCATCCATCCATCCATCCATCCATCTACCCATCCATCCATCCATCCATCCATCCATCCATCCATCCATCCATCCATCCATCCATCCATCCATCTTTGTTTTCTCAAGACATGGGTTTTCAGTGTTGTCCTGGCTGTCCTGGAACTCATTCTGTAGACCACACTGGCCTCAAACTCACAAATTCACTTGACCCTGCCTTCTGAGTACTGGGATTAAAGGTGAGAACCACTACTGCCTGGCTCATATATGAATTTTTAAAAAGTGTATTGATTGAAATAAATCTATGAAGAACTAACTAGCAATCTTCTTAGTCAAGAGTAATAGTACTATTAATAATACATTAATATTGAAAACCTTTGAGTGTGCAAGTGAGGGAAAAGCTCAGGCGTGCTCTCGAATCTCTCACTCACAGCTGGGTAAGCCCAGGGCTGGCCCTCCCCTTCTCTACATCCCATGTTGCTAGGGACAGAGTTTACATGAGTTCTGGGGATCTGAACTCAGGTTCTCATGCTGCACACCTCCCCTGCTCTGAGAGCCATGTTTAAGTGGGTGGGTAACGTATATGCTGGTTTAGATTAATGCGCAAACACACACACACTCGCACACAAACAGGTGTACATGTGTGTGCATGAGCATGTGGAAGCAAGAAGGCACCTCCAGGTGTCATTCCTCTGGAATGCTATCCACTGTCTTTTGAGGCAGGGTTTCTCACCAGCCTAAAGCCTGAAAACCAAGCTGAACTGTCTGGCCAACAAGCCACAGGGATCCTTCTCCAAGGGACCCTTCTGTCTCTGCTTCTCCCACTGGGATTCTAAGTGTGCGCCACCAAACCTGGCTCACCTGCCAACCAGCCTGCCTTCAATTCAGATTCGTTTGCAAGCATTTTACTGACTAACCCACCTCTCCAGCCTCCATACAGCTCATTTTTGATCTAAGAAATAGGTACAATCAATGACTATTTTGACAACACATGTAAGAACTACAGTAACTACCTGACTACAAGATGTAAATCAATCTTCTTCAATCATGGAAGAAATGAACAGTTCGAGAAGACGAGACTGAAGCAGGATCACCTTAACAAGGTCCTTACGGGATTAAGTGGGTTTGGGCACAGTATGCCAGGCACATGACACCTGTCATTTCTAAAAGCTGTCACCAACATTCTAACATTTCAATTATGTTGCTAATAATGCATTATTCCTATAGGAACTCAGATGATTGAACTAAAAAGTCAGAAATAAGGTTTAAGAACACAGAAGGTTTAAATTTTGAGGGCTGAGAATATAGTTTAGTAGTAGGGCAATTGCCTAACATGTATGGTACCCTAAGGTCAATCTCCAGCCCTGAAAAATAAATAAATAAATGAACAAATTAATAAATATTTTGAGAAGACTGTTTTTCTTCTCTGAACTACCTCGTAAAATTGGAGTTCTTAAAAAAGTGAAATAAAAATGCTTCAGTGTGATTTTTTGTACAAAGATATTAATAAATAAGAAATATATTACTGTTACCTCAAGGGTAAAGCCATACCTTAGTAACTTTTGGATTTCTACGCAGTATATTCTACAGTTAGTATTCTGTGACTTCAGACTGCAGAACTCAGTGCCATCTTAAGAGGAAGAGAGGAGCCACAGAACTGTACCTCGCCATTAAAACAGTGGCGGACCTCTTACAATGGCTTCCAAGTCCGAGATGCGCCAGGGTCCGGGGTCCGCACACACGAGGCCAAGTGTAGATGCTCGTGTATCTGGGAAGCATGTTTCTGCATGTCCTAAGGAATGTGGGATGTGGGAGCACTTAGCACTGCTGTCGGATTGCCACTGCCCGATGTCTGGACAACCACAGTAACAACAGGTGAGCAACCAGCTCTGCAGGGTGGACTCAAGTGCTACATCAACAGGAAATTCTCAAACTTCCTCCAAAAGATAAAGAGTAAGGCAAAGAGAGTTTCACTTACCTCTCTCTTTGCAGAGGACGAAAAGGAACTCAGCAGCGATTTGCTTGACCCCAAGGTCGACATGTGTCATGAGGCGCACCAGCTTATTCCTCACCGTCGAGCCCACTTCAGGCCGGTTTGTCACATCCCTCAATGGCGGTAAAACCTGACGCATAAATGAAAAAGCCACCATCAGCTGGGGCCCTGGTGTGTGACAATGGTACTGGGCAATGGGTCAGCCACACCTAGACCATCTCGTGCAGAGCTCGGCTCTGTTCCCTGTCACCTGTTATCTCAACACTTGCAGTACTTCTGGTGCCGTGCAAACTTCATTTCAGAGTCTACATCAAGTTTCTCTTTCTTGCGGGGTATGGCAGTACACACAAGCACAAGGAAGGCTGAACAAGGAGAAAATGAGCTCAAGGTCTGCTTTAGCTACATAGCAGGACTGCCTCCAAACCCAAAAGGAGGGCAAGGCCAGTGGAGCAGTTTCTGTGAGCATAAGGACCCGAGCTCAGTACTCAGAAACCAGGGGAAAGTCCAGAGGTGGTGGCATGGGCTTGTGATCCTAGCACGGGTGAGTGGAGACAGGAGGATTCTTGGGGCTTGCTGGCAAGCCAGCTTAGCCACGCCAGAGAGTTTCAGGACAGTGACAGAGGGTGAGGGGAGAAAGAAAGCAGATGGTGTCCAGGAGTCCACATTCCATACACATCTCCCATCTGCACTAGCACCCAGGGTTCCCATTCCTCCACATACTTCTTCTGTAGCTCAAACCATACGGACTTAACTCTTTCAAGTCTAGCAGCATAGTCAGTATTTAATTTTTTACGATCTGTATTTATGCTTTTTAGTTGTTTAATTTTATAATAAAAATGGCTATTTCAGGTTGAATATTCCTAACTCCAAAATGTGAAACCCTTGAGTACTGACATGATGCCATACATAGAAACTCCATGTGACAGGATATGAACTTCATGTGAAGGGTTAAGTGAAGGTGTACTAACAATGGACAAATCATCTTAAAGCTCTGGGTCTATACAGAACATGAAGAAGTTCATATTCACAGCAGGTCCTAGTGCAAAGTATCTTACTGTGTAATCTATGCAAATCCCCCAAATTTTAAAACATTATAAATCTGAAACACTTTTAGTCATCACCAAGCTGCAACAGATCACACACACGCATGCACCCCCGCTCTTTCTGCATGCCTCTGTCAACTGTTACCATCTCCCCGTGTCCCCCATCTCCTCCATCTCCCCCATCTCCCCCATCTCCCCATCTCCTCCATCTCCCACCATTGGTCTTCTATGGTCCTTTCCATGCTCTGACAGCTGGCAGAAGAAATATTTATTGTGTAGCCTCTTTCCACTGAAGTGCATTCTGTGATTCTTAGGAGGCATGCACTGGGGTGTGTCTTTCTTTCTCATCGTTTCTCTCTTAACCCTAATGCTTATCCTAATATCTTTTTTCAAAAGTAAGTTCCATAGGGACAGTTCTCCATTCTTTATTAGTCTCCTCTCAGTGCCTAGAATATTACAAGTGTCCAATAAGTATTTGTTGATTTAGAGGGAAATGAATAAATCTAAGTAATTTTCATTACATGATGTACTGGTTCATTCTCTGTTACTGTAAGAAAAGACTCACGGCACACTAACTTTACAAAGAAAACAGTTTTCTCTAGTTTACAGTTTTGGTGATCCTACCTACTGGTTCTACTTCTGGTGAGGGCTTACTGGAGGATGGTATCACAGAGGCGGGGTGTTTGTAGGAGTCAGGGATTTAAGGGTCAGGTCAGCTCTGGTTTGTTCTGTGAGAGCTAAAAGGTCTCATAGGAACTCTTAAACCCTGCTGGGCAGTGTCCCCCTAGACCTTTCCATGTAAACGTTTCATGAGTCAATACATCTTTTAAAGGTTCCACATCATCACCCACCACTGCCGCTTTGGGGACATCAAATTTCTACCGTGTTCACAGAGCAAAAAGTACACTCGAACCACAGCAAGTGCCTTCTGTATAAAGAATGAGTACTTGCACTAGGCAACAAAGCATATTACAAAGTCGAAGAATGATCTACTGTGCACCTATTCAGACTGTATAAATGTAGCAGTTGTTTAACTGATTTAACTAACTGGTCCCCTTCCATCTCTATGTAATGTACAGGGATTGGAAATACAGCTATAAATTAAAAAACAAAAAATTTCAGACAAGTAATCTATCCAAATATTTCTAGAAAAGGTGAGATTAACATAAGGCATAACTCTACCAGGTTTATTTCCTATTCCCCTGGGAGAATGAGTCATGTGATAGGCGATTTCTACAGTAGATACCTTAGTATCTACAGGAAAGATCAGCACGCAAAATTTGTTGGCTACTTTGTTGTTGCATGTCACTCCCAAATGGCACATGCCTTTCTCCTCACATTATCCCTCAATGCTTCCTTGCTAAGCTGTATCCAGTTTCTCTTTGTTCCACAGCTCTTCTATAGGTCCCTAGACTATACCACCTGGGTCAGTACTTCCCACTGCTTTCATTTGTAACTGCTCAAATAGAGCACCCCAGGGCAGTTTCCCTTGGTACATGTGACTTAGATTTAATAAAGTAGTTGCTACTACCTGCAGTAACTAGTTAACAGGGAAGTTTCCCTTGGTACACATGAGTTAGGTTTAAAAGGTAGTAGTAACTAGTTAGACATAACTTCAACTACAGTATTATCAAAGCTACTAATCTGTGAATCTCCTTGGTGTTAGAGTTAGAGTTTGTGCCAAGTACATGCTCTGAGACCTCGTGCTACATTAAGCTCTGCCTTCCTTGAGTGCAATCTACAATGCATCCTCTTTAGAAGTTTGTCTCCTTCTCTTTCCTTCTCCCTCCTCCCTTTCTTTCCTTTTTTTTCATAATCATTTTGTTTTATTGTGGTTTCACTTTCCATCTTGTTACTGTATTGTCCCCAAGCCTAAGACTATACCTGCAAAATAAAGTTAGGTGAAGAATGTGTGGTTTTGTTACTCTTGTTTCATTGATAGAATAATTTTACTGAGAGGTCTCTAGACTTAGCTACCTAGCTAGAGGACTTGTTAAAGATCTTCCTCTCAGCATAAGTATTTTTCTTTGAAGTCCAAGGACTATTGATTAGAGTTTGAGAGAAAAACAACAGGACAGGCAAGCTGTATGTTTTGGCAGCTGCTAGGAGGAAGATGAAGAAGAGGAAGAGGAAGTCAAGTCCTTTGAGTTAACGAGTCCTGGAAGTCTGTAAACAGCTGTAGAAAGGGGGTGGAGAGTGCTGGGGCAAGTACTCTTAGGATTTTGGCCAGCAGCCAACGAACAGAAACGAGGACAAGACTACGTTACAGTGAGGAGCTGTATGCACCTGTGGCGAGGGAGGGCTGTGGGACAGGTAAGGGTCCAGACTGTGCTGTACTCTCCATGTATTCTCCAAGGTTTCATGTGCTAAAGCATGATTCCTAGTGTGGTGGTGGCAAGAGGTGGGGAGCTGACCTTTAAGAGCTGAGGCAACGGGGAGGGTCTCGGGTCTCAGGGGAGTTGTTCCTCAAGGGATTAAGGTAACTCTGCTGAGACCCTCCAGCTTGCAGGAGGGTAAGCTGTTACAAGTTGGGGTGCGCTCACTCTGGCTTTCTGCTCTCAGACATGACCTTCCTCCTTGTATACATGCTTCTGACACAGGCAATGCAGCCCTCACCAGAGCCAAACCAATGCCAGTGCCTTACTTTTCAATCTGTTTTCTGTCAGGCATCTCGTTATGGTGATGATGAGCAGCAGATATAAACATGGCCCCTGAAACAGGGTCGTTCACTGTGACTCTACCTGAAAATAATAATTTGATGGGAAAATAGAAAACAAAGTCATCACACTGTCACCAAGACCCTGACCATAAAGGATCCATGTCCTAAGACACTGCAGGGCCTGGGATTAGGAGTGCTTGACTAGTTTATTTGGCTAGAAAAATTTCAAAACAGGAAAACTTTGGGGTTATGATATTAGTGTTCTGGCTACTGTTAGTTAGATCTATAGTAAGAGTTGGAAGCAAAAAGGAATGAAATAGAAAGATTTGTAAACCTTGCAGCTTGCCCAAGGAAGGAATAAAAACTGTAACTAAAGGTAGGCACACTGAGAGACTGTTAGGGACTGGCAAGAATGTTAATTATGAGGTTACATACAAGCCTTGAGGCCATCTCCCAAGTCTTCTAGGCCACTCCCCACCCTCACCCCAGGCCAAGAGACTGGTCTTTCAGGACAGCACTGTCTTAGGTACCGAGTTGGGGTGCTCTCTACTGGCTTACTATCCGAGACCATCTCAGGATTTGTTTTCCTGTGTCCAACTGGGGGAGCTCTCTGGCTGCAGTCATGGCTCAACCAGGCAGAAGTTGGGTTCATATCAGAGCAGACTTTTCTGCCTCTCCACGGGGCTGGTTCTGCAGGTGTGCAGAATTTAAGACTCATGAGATCACGATGGTGTCAACCACAATTTCAAAGAAAGGCAAGCAGAAGTCTGCAGGCTCAGAGCCCTTGCAATGAGTGCCCAGTGGGATGATGCATGGTGGAGCTGCTGAGGTGGTGCTACAGTAGGGACCCAAGAAGCCAAGGTCACTAGCAACACGTCACACCTGCTCAGGAAAGCCACGCGTGTTCGTCATCTGGGCGATGGTCAGCAAAACTGCAGAATTACAGAGTGCTGAAGATGCCAGACTTTCAGTGTCTTCCCCACTGCCCACCTGCCCCCTGCTTGAGACCTGGAACCAATGCCCCACTCTCACTTCTTTCTTGGAATGAAAATATAAGCCTGGTGGCTGTGCTACCACTGCACACCGGAAGTGGAAGGTCATTTTGATTTTACAGATAGAAGGGATTTACCTTGAGTTTCTGAAACTTTGTATTTTGTTTGTTTGTTTGCTACTGTGTGTGCACATGCACGCAGACATATACACGGAGGCCAGGGGACATCTCTCTGCCTTATTCCCTCGAGGCAGGGTCTTTCATTGTGCCCTGCCCGACGCTGATAAGGAACCAGTCCTCCTCACCAGTCCTCCCGTCACTTCCCCTGCAGAGCCCGAGGTTACAGTTAACACACGGCTATGCCCAACCTTATTACGTGGGCAATGAGGATTTGAACTCAGGTCCTCGTGGTTATGAAGCAAGTGTTCTTACCCACTGGGTCATCACCCTGGACACCTGTTATTGTTTTGAGTCAGGTTTCACTATGGATCTCAGGTTGCTACCACTATGTACCTTAAGGGATGCTGGAACAAGACTATCAGGAGTGGAGTGGCTATTTTGAACTGTGAGGATGTGAACACTGAACACGAACTGGCTTTCTCTTTCTTTCTCTGCTTGCAGGTTTGCTGAGATAGGCATAAACAGCTTCGTGTTCCTTATGTCACAACCAGGAGCTGCTGTAGCCTCCATGCCTTCCTTACTTCGATGGACCAGGAGAACAGACTCTTTCCCCTTGAGTTGCTTCTGTCCAGGACCTTTGTCCCAGCAACCAAAAGTGTAACTAATGTATCCAGTGGTGTCCTGCATCTCCCTAGAAATGTGATCTCTCAACCTGGGACACATCCTCCCCTGCAGTATCGTCACAGGCTAACAAACAGCTCTCTTTTTACCTGCCCTGTCTCAACTCCTCACCCACAGTGTGGCGTTTCCCAAGGAGACAAAGGTCTTATACTCTTGTGCATCTACACAGCATGTGGCTTACAAATAGGTTTCCAGATATAGAAATAGGACGTCCATATCACTCTGCTTTTATATTAACAAGAACACAGAAAATGAAGTCTTTTAAGAAAGCATTTATGCTTCTGTGTATGGGTATTTTACCTGAATGCATGTCTGTGTGAGATGCACATGCAGTGCCAGTGGAGGGAGAAGAGGGCACTGGACCCCTAGACTTGGAGGGGCAGACAAATGCGAGCAGCAGAGTGGATGCTGAGAACTGAGCCTGCCCTCCGGAAGAGAAAGCAGTGCTCTTAACCCAAATAATCTCTCCAGCCCCATAAAACATTTTCATTTACTATTCTTCACCAGGTTTTTCTGGCCAAGGTAGAATTCTTTAAAGCAGTCAAACCGATAATCACATAGGGCTGATTAACTTCTCTGGCTGAAACAGTGACCATGCTTTTATTATTTATCTGCTTAGAGCAACATGAGTTCCTGCTTTCTGAGGTCTTCCATCAGCACTACTCCGGGGTTGATACACAGTAAGGTGCCTACTTCATGTTCACCAAGTATCAAAGTGATCCTGACCGATTTATCAAGGGCCAGGGAAGCACGGGAATGGAGGATGGGAAAGGATGCACTGACCTGGGCTACACTAAAGGACAACATCCGATAGTGGAGTTACCTCCGAGCCTTCGCCAGCCGTCTCCAGGGGTCTAACTATGCCATAGGGCAGCATCCACTCATGCTCCGCTATACTCTTAGACACAGCAGCTCAAGTATTTTCAACACAGATGCAGTCCTACCAAATGCTCTGAAAAGATTCCAGTGTTTTCTCGTCTTACTTAGAAAGAACCCAAAGTGCCATGCAAGCTTGTCAACGCCCTGTGGACTCTGCCGCACTGACCGAAAGTCTTTCCTTTCTGCCGTTTGTCCAGGAACACTGGCTGCCGCACGTCCCGCAGCATACTGAGGCTTCGCAGCTGAGAACTCTCAATATTCTGAGACACTTCTCAGTTCTCCAACTCCCTGCTCACTGTCACCCTTGGGAGCACTCCCATACCTCAGCTCTCCTCTCCCCTTCTCTACAACACTGATCGTGCCCTGCAAGGGTAAAGGACTCATGGTACCGAATACTTCACAGCAGCACACAGCAGACCTCAGTGAGCATGTGCCGGGTATGGGAAAGAGTAACAATGTACACAAGACCGTTTATTCTGGTTAGAATTCATTAGTTCTACGTTAACAACATATAAACAAAGTTTTACATTTAAGATGTAAGCAGTTACCTGATCTTTGAGAAATTTTCGGATGTTCCGATGGGCTCGGGAACACTCTGTTAACAAGCTGAGAACTGGAGTTAGGCCCTCTCTATAGCTGCTTCCCTACAAAGAAAACCATGCATGCCGTATTAGTCCAGTTCCTAAAGGATGGCTCTCCTCCGTAACCTGAGAATATGAAGACATTTGTTTTTTTTTTTTTGAGGGGAAAAAGGGGAGAGGACATATCTTATGATATCTAAGCTTACAAACAATGTTTAAAGTTACTTTAAATAGTATTTCCATAAGTTGTCTCCATTTTACTTTCTAGTGTTGTCTTTTCTGGTTTTCCCTACGTGTTCTAGGGTTTCCACCAGCTTAGTTAATGCGCTTCAATGAAGCCAAGGACTGTGAGATCCATCGAAGCCACACTGCTGCCTTTAACACATTTACCAGAGAACGTTGAGTTACAGACGAGAGAAACTGAGAACAAGACACTTTTGAAGATGTCATTTTGGAATGAATTAGTTCTTCTAACATTTGCAAAGTAGCTATGCAGGGAAGTTACTCGTTTTTCTTTTGCTTTCAGATACTAGCTATAAATTTGGTGTAAAAATACAATTTTCAGCATAAATACTCACTTATTTCTAGCAATTTATCGTTATTACGATAAAATGTTTTTTAAAAGTACTGCTATATAGCATGCCAAGTACAAAGAACAAGCTTAGTTGTGAGCGCAAGCTGTGTGGTCGTCTCTGGGCAGGGCACACTGGTCTTGAGAGGTCCCTTCCAAGGACTCACACTAGCAGCCTTACCTTGTCAATTCTCTTCTCCATAAAACTGAGTAAGACATGAATGGCCTCCATATTCATGCCATTGTATACCATGGCATTGTTTGTCAAAGCTGTGTCTTTCTCCGCTGTTTTATCACCAGGCAGTTCATCTGGAGTCGTGGCCTCTTGGGCCGTTTCTTCGTGGGTTAATGGACAAATGAGAACATCCAAACAAGAGACTGGAACATTGCTTAAAAGGTTGACGGCATTGCTGAAAGGCAATTTGAAAATACAATATTTTAGTATGACTGAATGGGCTTTTAAAATGTAAACATAATGCAAAGTTTGAAGGTGACTTTTAGGAGTCAATTAAAATTTTTCTTTTTCAAAATGAGCCATTAATATTACTTGGCATTTACTCAGAGAAAAAGAAGAACCGTCTCAAACACACACACACACTACAAATGAACGAGAAGCCATGTTAAATGGACAGATGCAATCACAGAATGACACGTCCCTTTCTGACACGCTAAAACAGGAATTAGCCAGCTGGAATGCCAGCGCTTTAGTTCACTATGACAATGCTGGCTCTCAATTTTCTTCAGGGGCTTGAACTCCTTTTGTGGATTCACCGTTGTTTATTATCCCTTAAATCACAACATAATAACCTGAGAAGCAACGCCTGTGAGCTACTCGTCAGATGCAGCACCATTAACACTGCTGTTCTAGTCTCAAGTCCAGCCAGGCTGTTCTGCTTTCCCAAGGATTATACACAAACCTGAGATACACACCAGCAGGGGGAACCCAAACCTTGTGTTTTTGGCATTTCCTAAAAACTATTCTGTTGTTAACAAGAATACAAGAGGTTAAAATGAGAGTAGTAATTCAGAATTAGGCATATTTTCGGTGTACAGATTTTCTTCCCTGTACTACTTCCTATTTTTGTCTACCAGGAGAGGCAGTGCTCTTATGGAACTGGATCTTAACAGCCTGCACCCCAGGACTTCCTGATAAACAGCAATGGAAAGACAGGCATTGCATTTCCTAGTGACACAGAGGGAGTCTAAAAATAACCACATCCTGACTAAAAATAAACTCTTGCAAATACAGTTTACAAGTCTAACCACTTGGAAACCACAGGCAGGGCTTAATCCAGCTGATGCCGTCTTAATTTAGATCACAGCCATTTGAAATGTGACTGACGGTGACACTGAAGACTAAGACCGCAAACAGAGGCTTTCCTTCTTTCCTTCCTTTCCTTTCTTTCACACTCAAGTGTGCTTTTATTTATCCATGAGTTACTATCTCATTCTTTTTATATTATAAAAAATAATAATTAGTAAAAATCCACTACAAATTAGACAAAGCAGAAAATAAGTGGGAATGAAAATGATATGAGAACCCCTTTCATGACCAGATGGCCTTTGGTCCAGTGTGCTCGGCCGTCCTCACCGGAGCTGCTGCTCCTGGCGCAGTCTGCTCTGCTGTTTGTCAACACTCTTCCACACTCATTCACAACTCCTTATTTGTAGTTTACAATGACTTGCTTCTCACTTAAGCATTTGGAAACTGTTATTAAAAACCACAGTCACTAGAGAGGAGAACTTTACCTAAGATTCACATTCTAAAACAGTACAAGCCATTCTGAAACGCTAACGTCCCCCAACACAAGACAGCCAGCTCTGGAAACCATCAGCAGTGACTCTAAATCTATCACAGGCCAGCCGGAAGAGTTTGAGATGGTCAGTCACTCCATCACAAAGGGACGCTTCCCCTTTAGATTCACTTAAAGGAGGAGTTTCCAGGAATCCGCAGATTTAAGAAGCCAAATGTAGAGCTGGAATTAACAAATATTTGATGTTTAAGGCTTTTCAAGAAAAGTTCCCATTTTCTCATTTCTCACTGAACAACTTGGTTCTCAAACAGCTACGAAATTAATTCTCTGGCTCGCTGTGTCCAGCTACTCTGTTTAAACGAGGGGTTAGCCTTTGAGCCCTGTCACTCCTCTGACAGTTTTATTTGTGGGAGAAGAGTGCATGAGATTCCCCAGCGACCAGGAAGTCAGTGCCGGTGCACACATTTACACAATGGTGTTTGCATTCCTCCTCCAGGGGGTAGAAAGGCTGTGTACACTACTCTCCTTTTCAGTTCCTAGAGACCATTAATCACTGAGCCCTGACGTCCTCCCAGCCCCCTCCTGATATGCAGATTCAGAAGCAAGGCTAACTTACAGCAACTTAGAGCCTTAATTAAAGGCTTGCAGCTGTGGGAAGGGGAAGACAATCCCAAACCAACAATTGCTGAACTCAACCGAACGCCACATGAAAGCGAGAAGCAAGCTAACAGTTCGCATTCATCAACAGCAAGTAACAAATCGTATGAACAAATGTAGTTTCTTTATATATGAGGTTTACATGTGCATTTTCAAGCTTGGAAAGAAAGACAAAAACAAACCTCAAGATCTTCAAAAGATTCTCCTGTTCTCTTTAGTTAAAAAAAAAAGTGGAGGGGGGTTGTTTTGTTTCTTTTGAGGTAAGAGCACTTAAGCTTAAGATCAACCCTCTGCCAGGTGGTGGTGGCACATGCCTTTAATCCCAGGAGGCAGAGGCAGGTGGATCTCTTGAGTTCGAGGCCAGCCTGGTCTACAGAGCTAGTTCCAGGACAGGCTCCAAAGCTACAAAGAGGAACCCTGTCTCAAACAAAACAAAACAACCCCCCCCCCCCAAAAAAAAAGATTCTAGCCTTTTTACCAAATGTTACATATATGCAACAGTCCTGTTAACCACAGACCCTGCTGGACAGCAACACCAGAAGTCACAACCACAAACTGTAGGTTTTTGACGGACAGCACTCCCACACCCTGCCCCTTCTCCCTCCATGTTCTTTATCCGTCTCATCTGTTGATCCCTGACATCGTGAGCAATGATGAACACGAGGGGACAGGTATCTCTTTGAGAAAATGGTTTTTATTTCTTCTGGATATCTATCCATCAGTGTGGTTGCTTGAGCCAATGCCACTTCTCTTTTCAATTTTTAGAAGAACTATCACACTGCTTCCCACAAGGGCTACGTTAACTCACAATGCTGCTCCCCACACCCTAGTTCTGTGGTGGTCTTTAAGCAGCCACTATAACAGCTGTGAGGGGAATCTTAAGATTTTGATTTGTATCTTACAGGAAATTAGTAATGCTAAACATGCTTTTAGATGCATGTCTTCTTGGAGGAATGTCCACTCAGATCCTCTGTCTTACCTTCGTGCCAGCCTGCCTGCCTGCCTTCCCTCCCTCCACTCTCTCTTCCCCCTTACCCCCCCTTTCCCCCCCTCTCTCTTTTCTTGGCAATCAAGAGTCCTGTGCTGGTAATGCATGCCTTTAATCCTAGCACACAGGAGGCTAAAGCAGGGGATTACCAACTGAAGAGTTTAGTCTACATAGTGAGTTCAAGACTAGCCTGAGCTACAAAGCAAGACACTGCCATCCAAAGCACAACAAAGAAGCGCATTCCCTATAGATGTCTTAGCTGCTTACTCCCTACCGCAGAGGCAGGGCAGCGATGAATAGCCTCCCATCACACAGGTGTGATTTCACCTGGGCAGTTTCCTGTGCACGGCAGCTTTGCAGGCTGAGGAATTCCCACCTAACTATCCTTGCCTCGCTTGTCTGTTCCAGTGTCAGACCCACAAATTATTGCTAAGACCAAGCCCTATAATTTTGCTTACCTTATGTATTCCAAGTTTTACTGTTTTAGACTTTATATTAAAGGCTTTAATACTTTCTTAGTTCCTTTGGTATGTGTGTATAATGTGAAGTCACAATTTAACTTCATTATTTTACATACAGAAGCCCAGTTTTCTTAACACCATTTCTTGGAGAACGTGCATTCTTTACAGGCATGTGTCAATACAGCTGACTACACATTTGTAGTATGCAGGTTTACTTCTAGGCTCTCTATGCTGTTTCAGTGGTCTACATGTCTATTTTCATGTAAATCTACCAAAATTTGATTGTTGGAGTTTGATAATACCTTATGAAATCGGGTACTGCCATACCTCTGAAGTTTTGTTCTGACTCAACAACCTCCACTATTAGGGGCTTTCTGTGGTGCCGTGGGGGAGAGAGACGACGGCACTCAGACTGAGTTTTCTGCTTCTCTTTAAGGTCACGTTTGTTGGTGACATTGAGCTAGAGTTGTCTAGGCAAAGTAGCAGAGGTGATTCATTTGTGTAATCAAAAATGAATAGGTGAAGCCCACAGAAACATTAAGTTCAAAGCAATATTCTGTAAGCAGGGTTGGGCACATGCAGCTGCAGAGAGGTACACAAAATGATCCACTGGGGCGCAGAAAGAAAACACACAATTTTTACCTATTTCCGCTTTGCTCTCTGACCAATGTACTGACACTCGTGCCCAGACTTCAGCCATAGGTGCCACTCCCCACACAAGCTCCAGTGAAGCAGAGGGAAGAATACAGATTCTGGGATATGAGAAGACCAACCGTGACCCCTTTTCCTTGGTCACGCACTTGCATTCAGAACTGGTCATAATGCAATCGGCATATGCTTAGGTGGCTACAGACTGCTTTTCCACGCTTCTGTGGGAGGAGAGGGCTGCTCTCTGGGGCCTCACATCTGTTAAAAGCGCTATCCCTAAGCAAAATTGTCAGCCTTGATTCGTAAGTTTTAAGTTGAGCAAATTCTTACAAAACAGGCAAACTGTTTTCAGTGACTCCTGCAGAGGAAACCTAAATTTAAGACATTACTTTAAATAGTAGCACATTTTACTTTCGTTCTGACGAGAAAATGGCAGAATCCTATGTTTTTGCTGAACCATAAGGAAAGTCGGGACAATTCAACTGGCTGCAGCATGGATCTCATGTGACCCAGGATACGAATTCACTGTGGAAACTTTGAGAGTGAGTCCCCACACCAGAGTGGCCATACGCTCACGGAGTAGCTGACAGTGACCTTGAACTGCTGACACTTCTGCCTCATTACCAGAATGTACCCACCAAAAATTTGTTTAAAAACATCTGAAACTTGGGCCAGAGAGCTGGCTCAGGGGTGCTTGCTTTATGCCTGGTGTGAAGAGGATGCGCGCCCCCCATCTAAGCACACGTAAGTGAAAGCAGCGTGGTGTCAGGGGCTGAGGCAGGACTGTCAGCTGGGGACTGTCCAATCAATGACATAAATATGGAAAGATGGGAATTCCACATTGTATTACTGACCCATACCATATACCCTGAGGAATGAGCTAATGATAAGGCCAACTCAAG